TGACAAGGAGCACGCGTCAGCAGGGGATGCTCAATCCTCCATGGCACCTGGTCCCACCTCTGATGTTTGATCTTTTCCTGATTTTTTTTTTGTTTAATGAATTTTTGATCTTGAATACTGTTGGTTATCTCCATATGTTTCATTACAAAAAGGTAATCATCTTCTCAAAACGAGTTATGCAACTCGAACGAGATAATTTTCTCATTTTCCGTTCAAACGAGTTGACTAACTCGTTATGATAAGATTGTTGTCTCATCATTACAAGATCATGATAACAAGATACTAAGTTAAATGTATATCATTATACTCAAGCACCTTTGCTTTATTTCTATTATTGTAGGCATCAGAACAAGAGACAGTTAGTAGAGACGAAACTACCAGCCGAGATAACGAAGGTTTAATGACGAGTGATCAGAATATTTATTTAAACGCATCCACCATAGCATACGATGAAAGTAGCAGAATGCCAAATGATACCCCATATTCCTCTGTATCACACAGAAATACATATTTGCCCAGTTCTACTCAAGGTAGATACAAGCCCTGCAAGTTTTGGAACAAAATTAACGTTGGCTCAATTAATGCTTAGGAATGTTCCGATATAATTAAGTAAAATATTGGTAAAGGTCATCAATTTAAATGAAAAATATTGGAAATCACAATGTAAATTCGCCTTACAGCTAGAATAAAATGTTTATTTCCATATATTGTAGAAGTGTCGACAAAAATAAGACAGCTAGGATCATCCACAAGCCAGACTACAGCTAACGGTAAAGAAAACTTGTAGCCTGCTGTAACTAAAATCCATAATTATATAAATGATTGTTTACAAAATTTTGAAAGGATCAAATTTTCTTGATAACTAATCTGGCAATAACTGTAAATCACAATATTTTTGCGACGCTTTATTTTCGTGGGTGAGCTATTAAGTATTTATATGCGATAGAATATTTTGATGAGTTATGCTTTTCTTAATAATTCTTACTAATTCGTATTTACGCAAGAAAGTAATTTTAGCGGGCACACCCATGTTACTACGCAAAAATAAACTTCTCGCGAATAGTGATTTACAGCATATTTATTTATTCACCATATATTTAATAAGGTTTTGTAAGTAAATTCATGTTGATTAAAAGGCTGTAATTTTTTTTTTTTTTTTTTTTAATTTTGTACCTTTAATCAACTTTTACATAATCAAAGGTTCATCAGAAATAACACCAGTTGTTTACAGTGTTCCAGTAGCGTTGGCTGTTATCCTCGTTGTCGTTTGTTTCTTATATTGCAGGTGAGAGGTTTTGGGATTTATTTCTTATCTGACAATTTATTCATGATTTTTTTAAATAAAAAAAAAATACATATATAAGTTTAATTTACATTACATCTGAATGAAAACAGGAAGAAACTTCAGAAAAAACGAACTCTGGATGCTGTATCAACAGCTGAAAGCAAGCAATTATCGGCACAGCTTGTTGCCAACACTGAACTTTATGAAATGGCAGACAATTCAAAATTAGATACCCTCCATTCTGACTCGGTTACACTGGACACAGTCCACATACCAAAATCAGAGGGGGATATCACAGATGACAAGAGTGGGGTGTATAAAAAAGCCAGCGGTATAAATGTATCGGAATCAACAGACGTATATAATCATCTCTGGGAGAAAGATGTCATAACTGAACGAAAAGAAGACATTTACGATCGTTCAGAGGGAATATGTGATAAAGAAAATCCCTTATACGACGTTACAACAACTAAGGCAGATCACAACGTCTCGCCGGACCCGACATACGACCACGCAGTCCACTTAGATAACCTGCCAGGGAAGGTAACAAGTGAGGTCCTTAATGCCTGAGATGTGCGAAACTTTAAAGTATGCAAGAATGATTACATACAATGTGTAGTGTTTTGTATTCGTCTTCACATGCATTGGTAAATAATAGGGTAATTTAGCATAAAGTCTAGTTCTTTCTTCAAACTTTTTTTTTTTTTAAAAAAGAAGAATTTCGAGTTTTATAAACATTTTGACTTATAAATAAAAAAAATTTAATTTCCAATTACACATTCTATAAATTTAAAATATATATCTAGATTAAAAAAAAAATTCAACAATTTTGAAGTATTTTCTGTAAAAATAAAAAGATCCTAGTCTGATTAACATTTACATGTAAAATTCTCCAAAATGATTTTGTTTAAATGTTAAATATTTTGAACAGACAACAGAAAATGTAGAAATAAATGATTTTTAATGACAAATGACTTTGTTTATTGCACAGACTTGAGGATAAAATCTTCATTTGATATTTCTTGTTTCTTCTTTAATCAGTTGACATTTCTCATATCTTCTTCAGTTGACATCTCTCATGTCTTCAGTTGACATTTCTCAAATCTTCTTCAGTTGACATTTCTCATATCTTTTTCAGTTGACATTTCTCTTGTTCCTTCTTTCACATCGGGGGCACTGGGCTCCTCTCTTGGCAAAGCAATGTCTGTATATAAAAAATGTACATCAGTATTAGCAACTTATCTTGATTATAAGAAAAAAAGACCCTATAATCTGAAAGGATTTCTCCTAACACCTTAAAGGTAACAGTGCCATCCTAACCATACTATATATTTGAAATTCAAGTCAAAAGAAATCTTTTTAACTAAAAGGATAAAGACTAAACTCATATTCATCATAGATTATACAATATTTCCTACATTTACTGTTTCTTGACAGAATAAAAACAAGTTAGAACACACATTTTACCTGTGTAGTACATACGAACACTGGGAACAGACCACTGCAATGCTGTCAAAGGGGAACAGGGTCTCATCGTCGTCACACAGTTCACAGATAAAGCCCTTGGCCTGACACTTCTATTGAAGGAAAAGAACATGTGTACATTGTCTGAAGGTACACATGAGCTAGAAAGCTCAACGAATATGTGTCTTTTTACCTTAAACTTCTTTAAAACTTCATTTAATTTATGTTTACACAAAAATTCCTGAATTTTATGTAATGTAAAGATATTGGTATCCAGCTTAAATTATGTTTGGAAAGCTAGTTTACATTCTATATATTTTCACCCTTGAAGATTAATCATAAACACACTTCTTCAGTTTCCCTAATACGTGACAATCTCTTTTGATATGCTGGGCCAATTAGGACCTGACAATATTTAAGCATTGAATTCATATTTTTGGCTGTCTTCGGTCCTATAACACACCTGGCCGTGCCGACAAATTGAATACCGCGCGTTAGCGTGGTATGATAAATTTGTCGGCACGGCCAGGTGTGTTATAGGACCGAAGACAGCCAAAAATATGAATTCAATGCATATATTTACATTCTCTAATTTTCCTTCTTTATAATTGCTTATTTCGCTAATCTTAAATGTTAATTTAGCGCCCTTTAAAACTGCCGTGGCTAATAGATGTAAGAGCCGTTTGTGACGTCAAATGACGTTAAATGACGTTGCAACGTTAAATTACGCAAACAAACACTGCGAGGAAAAAAAGGACAAATTAATTCTTAGAGCACATTACGTTAATTTTTACGTTAATTTTTCAGGGTTATAGTTTTTCATTAAATTGAAATAAAACATTTTACATTTTGGTGTTCCTAGAGTATTGAAAATGCATATAGTTCCTACTGTGTATTCTAACGCGCGGTGACAAGGTTTTGCGTGTGTTATAGAAATTTGAACGTTGCGGATTTCTAATGGATTTCATAAGGAAAACTACACTGAATGTAAATATTTTGATATGATGGACCCATAGCTGAGAATCTGTTTTGATGTGTCCTTACCCATACCTGACAATCTGTTTTGTTATGTTTGGCCCCTACCTGACAATCTGTTTTGATATGCTGGGCCCATACCTGACAATCTGTTTAGTTGTGCTGGGCCCATACCTGACAATCTGTTTTGATGTGCTGGGCCAACACCTGATAATCTGTTTTGATGTGATGGGCCCATACCTGACAATCTGTTTTGATGTGCTGGCCCATACCTGACAACCTGTTTTGATATGCTTTGTCCATACATGATAATCTGTTTTGTTATATGGGGGTGTCCATACCTGACAATCTGTTTTGATATGTTGGGCCCATGTTGTATGTATACTGGCCAGTTCTGGGAGGAGTGTATCAGATGTTATGTCCAGTAGGTCCTGCATGGAGTATTTATCAGAAGTCTCCACAAAATGCTGCCGCTCCTTCAGTAACAACAAGAACTTCTTCTCCATTGCCTCACTGCACACCAACAGGTACTTCTTCATTATCAACAACTCCTCTCGCAGTTTCTATTGACCAAAAAATATATGATTACCTAAAATTAAGAATTTAGGTTAAACATGCGAGTTAGGCATTATATATACGCTAGGGCTGAAACAATTCATCGAAATATCGATATCGTTCAATATAATTCCTCAATTCAATATTTGATTCACTACCTCAATTTTCAATTCAATACATTTTTTTATAATCAGGTTAGATTACCCCTTGAAATGACCGGCTTTATCCTCATTTTGACACTCATGAGAGAGAAAATTGAGACAGAGAAAGTTTTAGAGCAGGCTGATGCTGCTAGAATTGACACAGACAATGTGCTTATTCTACAGAAGCACAAGAGTGTTTTCTTTTTGTATCGCCACCTTCTATGTATCTTTTGGAATCTGAATACATGTTTTCTTTAACCTAATGATCTATTTCTTTTTTAAAATATATCGTATCGAAAAAATTGAATTGTGACACAAGTATTGCAATACGCATCGAATCGTGGAGGGGGTATATCATTTCAGCCCTAATATACGCAGATGCTTTGTAGAAGTCAGAGGCATCTTTTAAAGAACTAACTATTAGCCCAAAATATTATTCTCTTGGATAGATATCATTCTTCTTAACATTAACTTGAAAATTATTTTGATATTTTTTTAAGAAAGAAAATTTAAAGAAAATGAAAACAATATTTGTAAGAAGCAGAATTTTGCAAACTTTTAAAGAAACAAGTTTTGGTCTGAGTTGTATTTCTTTTGTAAATTGCAGACCTGATTTTTTTTTCACGTCTGAGTGGTAGTTCTTTTTTTATTTTTGGTCTGAGTTGTAGTTCTTTTTTTATTTTTAGTCTGAGTTGTAGTTCTTTTTATACCCCCCCACTTGAAAAGTGGGTGGGTATATAGTAATCGGTATGTCCGTCCGTCTGTTACACTTTGGGGTACCCATCTCTTATCCGCAACTCCTCTAATACTACAGAAGGAAATTTAATGAAACTTTCACAGAATCTTTATTACATATTGCCATTGTGCACTCCTATTTTACTTTTTGATCTGACATATATTTTGGATTATCCAGAGCAAAACATGGACACTGCCATTATATTCATATGGGAGGCGGGGGTATTATTTAGTGAGCCCATTGCTCACAGTACCTCTAGTTTTATTTTTGGTCTGAGTTGCAGTTCTTTTGTAAAGTTTGATCTAATTTTCAAACTGACCTTGACATCATTTAGTTCCTCTACGAAGTTGAACAACATGGGGTTGACGTCCTGGATTCTCATCACGGCTTTAGAGGTCATCAGCTTCAGAAACTGTTTAGAGGCACGACTCACCTGTAATAAGTTTATTGTCATTAAATCAAAACTATGCAATTTGTTAAGAAATTGTAAAATTAAAAATTCAACAAATAACCAGAAGGTAGCAAATAATTTCACTCCCTTTTTTCATACATCATAAGAAAATCATGTTATATTTAAAAATTGCTTAGTTCTAAAAATGTAAATTAATTTTACAAGTGCATACACATACATTTTGTACAAAGAACACTAACCTTTCTGGGTTCAAAGTCCCAGTTATGTAGAACTCTGGCAGGAATGACCATGATATTGTTCCAGTGACAAAGTTCACAAAAATAATTTCCTGAGTAATCACAAAGCCGAGGCTCACTGAAACCTGACTCTGGGGAAAGAAAGACCATAACCATTAAAATATATTGAATATATAAGAAAATAACAATAAAGGGGCAGACGGAAACGGCAATAAACAGTATGGAGATTTGATTAAAAAAATTAATTAAGAGTAGGCAGCAAGAATCCAATGTCATGCTTACTCGTGTTACTGAATTAAATGTGTAAGTTGACAAAGAAATTCTTACGGAATGAAATGGCTTTCCTACATTCGGCACACCTGTAGTTCTGGGCAGATAAACCTCTGTTTGGACAAATTGAAAGACAGAATTCAGGGACCTCCAGCACCTACAAAAGTATTCATTTTATTCATTACGACATAAAATTTATATTGGTTTTATATACAAAATGTATAACCATTCAAATATTGTCTGATGTCTAACCTTCTGACTGGCACACATCCTAGTTATCGTATTAAGACATTTTTCATGACAGCTATATCCACATTCTGAAAAAATTATGCAAAATCTTAATTTGCCCCTGATAACATAAACACTGTTTAATTACAAAATGAACTGCTTTATCCAGTTACATAGCTACCTGAACACTTGAACCATTTCTGTATGACCCCCAGAATCATGGCGTTACACTTCTCACAGTAGTACTTTGTACTTCGACTCTCCTGGGTCTGGAATTTGTGTCCCACCACCAGCTTAACATCTAAAGGGACAGGTTCTGGGCCATCCTGTTAAAGAAATGCATGCTCAGTTAAGTCGCCCATGTGGCGCAATGGTTAGAGCATCTGCTCTAGAGTCGTGAAGTAAGGAATTGATCCATATATAGTAGGTTCCAATCCCACTGTGCGACTTAGAGACTGGTCCTTGGAATGAGACCTTATAAACTAATGTCAATGTCTCAATGTCAAAGTAAGTGCTGGCATGAAAAAGATCCCTCCCTGCTCAAAGGCTGTAAGTGCTGAGTATGGGACAAAATTTTGCAGCTCTCCACCGGCAAGTGGTGGTGTCTCCATATGAGTGAAAAATTCTCAAGAGAGGCATAAAAACAAACATGCACAGTTACATGTAACACTCATTGCTTGAAGGAGATTTCTCACTTGTTCAGTTTTCTTTAACAGAGCAATTATCTTTTACACCTTATGCCTTCTCATTATGCATTAGGTAAGTTTACCTTTAACTCCTGGAGCTTCAGTCTCAGTTGAACCAGTTTCTGGACAAGATTTTTGTGTCGGTCAGAATGAGGCTGGGCTTGACCAATCAAATCTTTACAATTCTCTATAGCCATCTCCATCTCCTCTGTGCTACTCAGCCCAAAATGTCCCTGTTCATATCAATAGATAGATGTCAGATACATGAACAAATTAGTATTATTCAGTAATTTCACACACATTTTCAAAATTATCAAAACACTTTGGTATCTCTGCAAGACCTTGTCCTTTCCTTTATTTAGCATATAAGCTTATCAGCTCTATTACAAAAAAAGTATATCATTCATGTAATTATCAATCAATGAATTGTAAGAATTTTTCTAGACAATTAATGTTAATTAATAAAATATCACAAACTTCAGGGTGAGAGAAGTGATCCTCTGCCAGTCCGAGGTCAGCATTCGTAATGTCTGGATTGTCATCAGAAATGTCTGTCCAAGAGCTGCCATTAGAACCTGAATTAGAGATACACACATGCTTCAAATCACAAAATCATCTCCCATTATTATCATATTTTATCTGCAATAACATCGTCATAATGACCATGGATTAGAATAGGATTTCTCTTTTGTGACTGGTCTGCATATGTCATAACTTCAAGACTAGATTTAATTTAACCATGAATCAAAAATTGAAGGATTATACCAGGGACTTATATACTAACGTTAGTATATAGGTCCCTGATTATGCAGAAATATTGTAAAATTAATTCAGATTTACACACAAACACACACCGTTACTGGACTTGAATCTGAAATCCTGTTCACTGACAGTTGGTATGACTTCCTCTGTATAATGGTCCTCCTCCATGTGTAAATCTCTGTCAAAAGGATTGAATCTGTCCACAGAAAATATCTTCTTCAGCTCTGACTTTTGTTTGGACTCTTCTACTATGACTTTGACTTTAGGTTCCAATGTCTGTAGTGTATCTAACTGTTCCAGGTTGTTTGTACTTTTCACGGTCACTGTCCCCCGATCTTCATCGCTGAGTGGTTCTGTGTCTTCGAGCCCTGATGGAGGCCCCACTTCCTTATTCAGGTCAATCTCTGTAATTGTGTAGTCTCTCTCTTCCTCCTCTGATGAAGTGAAATCTGAATCTGTGTCGGAGAGCTTCCTGACACGATGCCCTGTTAACTTAACAATAGCTGTACTTGACTCAATGTGATGCACAAGGCCACCTGACACTGTACTTTTGGCACTTACTGGAAGATCTGAGGCTCTTCTCACTGTCGATGTTTCAGTGGATTTTTCCATGGCATAACACAAAAACTGCAAAACAAATGAACTCACCAACGACAATGAAGCAAAATATCAAAAGATAGCCACTTTGTGTTTCTGGACTACAAAACTTGTTCTGAATATTGATATTCTGCAATTTATATTATCAACAATTTGTAAATAAAATCATTTTACAAAAAACAATGATAATCCTATCGAAAATCTGGAAATCCGCCAGACACTTCCTGTCACGCGACTGTCAATTAAATGTTTTTGCAGAGATACAGTGAAACAATTTAGACATAAAAATAAACTAAATGTAATAAAATAAATAAAAATACCGTTCATTTTGACAGTTTTTCTTGTATCTGATAATAGATTCAGCCTAAATGACAAGTCCGAAAGTCGCTTTCTAATTTCTTCTCGCTTTGTTTATTTGTTTACAAAAAAATTGAATCTCGATCCCGATTTAGTCTACTCAAAGCAGAGGCCCATGGACCTTGTTGGTCACCCGTGCATTAAGTTTCTCAAGTGCTCTGACTCATATGACCCCTAATGATGCTGTATACTCATGTACGTGATTAAAATATTTTCACAATTTATACAAATTTTGATTTTCAAAAGTTTATACTCTACCGTAGTCTCTTTCAGGAAGAACTTCAAATTTTGCCAAAGACTGCTCAAGGTGTCTTGGCCTATTCAATTTGTTTAAACTCTGCACACATCAATGAGTTCGGACTGCCAATACTGGTGAGTTGGTTTTGCTTTCTTACTTTTCTACTCTAAATTTTCTGGATTATAGTTTAAAGATTTGTCCCGAAATTCGTAGATAACTTTTTAATAATTTCAATATAAAATAAGCATGACGAGTGTTTATAGTGCAAACAGCTAAAGAGATTGATTCCATGAATATTCGTAATCAACGTTTAATCTTGCATTCCACCATATCTTGTAATTGGCGGTCAAAAAAAAATTCTTCGTTGAAAAACACTTATTCTACAAACAAATAAATGACAACTTTGTATATATATGTAATCTTCGGAGACCGTCTTCCAACAAACAGTTGGAACTCGATAGATACTAATTGTGCTCCTCTTTTATCCGACCTTTTTATATTCCTATGAAGCAGATAGAATTTTTTTTTTAAATTTCTACGTGAACATGGAGAAGACGAACAGTATTCAAGCTCAAAGTCCATTAATCGATCGATACAAAATAGGAGCAGAGCAAACACGGACCTCCGTAACATCAGAGGTAGGATCAGGTGCCATGGAGGAGTGAGCATCCCCTGCCGACCGGTCACACCCGACATATGCTCCTTGTCATGATCGGGAAATAGCGGAAAAAATCCGTCGTCAATTCACTGTATAAATCATGGACTAACAATGAGTATGAAAAGTGTCAGTCCGCATTTGACTCACTGATAAATTGTATTTGCTGATAAGGTCATTGTATTGACCAAGGAACTTACGCAGTGAAGACTTTAAAATGACTGCTAATAATCTTATTTCATCAACTTGTTTGTCAATAATTTACCTCATTTAAGAAATTGTACATATAGTACGCAGAGCATGCTCTTGTGTATACGTATCGAATCAATTGAGATATACTGTATAAACCCCGTATACAGGTGATGAAGGTATATTGCTGCATATAATAAGGGAATTTGACGATTGAAAAGTTAAAATCATCACGTTAAACATAGAGCCTGGTTGTTAGATTACTTTTAACGTCTTTTTCGAGTAAAATATCCAAATATGAAACAGATGCGTCAGACTCTCCGTGTTTCCGTCTACTATTTCAATACATGTGTTTCAGGACGGATGTGACCGGTCGACAGGGGATTCTTACTCCTCCTAGGCTCCTGGGATCCTGGGATTTTCATGTTCCGTGTTTAAGCTTTGTTCACAGATTTGTATTGTTTGAAGATTTATGAGATCAATCATCGGTTGTTATCTTCACCTTTTGTATTTAAAGTTAAAGTTTATACTCTGCATTCCCTGCAAATATATTCCCTAACCGCTGTTCTCCCCAAAATAATGAAAAGAAGAAAAAAATGCATAATAAAGTAATATATGGAGATAGCGATAAAGAGGAAGCAATTTTCGTTAAAAGGAAATATATGAAGACAGCGACAGTATTAAAGCTCGAAAGTCCATTAAACAACAGCCACTAAATTTCAAGTATTTTTTCATACTAATTATTAGGTCATCACATGTACATGTATATACACACTGAATTGTCGACGGATTTTCCGTTATTTCCAGATCATGACAAGGAGTACGTAGTGGGTGTGACGTTTCGGCAGGGGAAGCCCAATCCTCCATGGCACCTGATCCCACCTCTAATGTCTTGGAGGTTCGTGTTTGCTCTGCCTAAATTTTATATTGTTAATTGAATTTTGAGCTTGACTACCGTTATACTTAGCATTTCATTTTAACAAAAATTGCTTCCTCTTTTTTTTTTAAGTGTCTTTATGACCATTTGACGTTCGATAAGACCCAAAATGTTTCTTTCAAAGGAAAACAACTTCAATGCGCATCATTGTATATATACCTGCATTTCCTTGCTTTTGTAAATTTTGTCCAGTAAATTGCTTTTATACATACATTCTAATAGTATTTTGTTTCTTTTATAAAATTTCTAATGTCTAAATTGTTTAAAGACCTTTTTTTTTTATTTTTGTGCTCTCATAATATAGTTTTTGGAATTTCCGGCCTTCCAAAAGAACCTAAAAATTAAATCATGGCCATAACTTTGAATTGTTTCTGCATATTTCAATATTTTAAATGCGCATTTATATCCTTGTGGCAAAGCTTTTGTTTGAGACTCATGGTTTTGGTCTCATGATCTTGCACCGGGTGTGGAAAAAAAACTTGAAAAACCTTTAATCTTGACAATTTCATACGTATAACAAATACTTAGCTGGAACACATGCATTCATGATAACGTCAAACACAAACAAGACCGATTTTAAATCTCGTAGATAAGTTGAAGATCGAAGTCAATGTCCTTCGTTTCCTGTTTAATCATGGCGTCGTGTCGTTCATTCTGTGAAATCGTGTACCAGTTTTTCCAGTCACCAACTTCTCCTAATAAAAAATAAAACCAGCTTAATTTATACTGCCAGATAAAGTCTACAAAACATTGATGATAGCTATAATTTCTTAGATTTGAAGCTTTTTTGTACGCGATACAGTTTTTAATTGTCATTTCGTTTCTTTTCTTATTTTTGGTAACGCTAAATTTTATATATGTCAAATTACAAGTTTATGTACATATGAAATGGTTTTCCTAAAGCATGTAAAAAGTCTCGATGAAATTGAAAGGGAGTATGGATGAGCAATCATTCTTGAGATCTGATAGTTTTGTTTCAAAGTGAAAGTTAACGTATTATCAAAACTGCCATGCTTGATGTTGAAAACAAATATTTATGTCGATTCCTGATACACGTACATGTAACACTACTGTTTTCAGATAAGCTTAGATATTGTAATGCAACTTTCACTAGTCAATTGCAAAATAAATCGCTGTCAGAGAAGGGCCTGTCTTGCAATTATACCACCGTACGTGTAACTATAAGCCTGACTGTGGCGATGCTTTTTCATTTGATAATAAAAAGATTGATTGATTGTATATTGTTTAACGTCCCTCTCCAGAATATTTCACTGATATGGAGACGTCTAATAAAAAGAGAATTCATGCAATGCAAGGATAGAGGAAAATGTACCATTGTGGAAATATGCTTACCAGGTTACACAAACCAATAAACTTCTGCATGTTTACTTCCAATTTAATTAACGGATCATCTAATCCTAGTTAGATTTATCTATTGCTGTTTTTCTAAACGTACTGATCAACATGTTTACTGTACTTTAATATTAAGGAATTTTGCCTGGGTTGGCGATACCTTTTCGGTAAAACTTTGGGAGCTCTCTGCCCATTTCTTTCATTGCTTTGGCTATTTCCCCGTGGTCCTTTGTATTATCGGATGCGTCCTTTAGATTTTGGAAACTACACTTTTCAGATATATTACTCGCCAATTCAGTGGAGCAAGCAACTCCAAGATAGCTTGCTAATTTTAGTATCTCTGACACGGGATCCTGAAAGCAAACATCAAACAATAAAAATAATAATGTTTCCCTTTTCCCAGATTGGAGGTTTTAATATCCTATACCCATGATCTTCCACTTTTAAAATACATCTGCAATTCAAGATCATGTCATTCGATTTGCATTACACAAGAACATGCTCTTTACGTTTGAACAATTACTTAAACGAGGCAATTTTATGAAAAACAAGTTGATGAAACAAGAATATCAAGGGCCTCGTTTAAAACCATCATTTAATTTTTGTAATTTCTATGGTCGATACAATGACCTTGTCAGCAAATACAATTTATCACTTCATTAAGTTAATTAAATGCTGACCAACGTTTTTCATACTACTTGTTTTAAAAGCCATTATTTACACACTGAATTGACGACGGATTTTTCCGTTTTCTCCGACCACCACGCCTCATTGTAAGAGTGGATCACTGTAGGCGGATCTTACCTTTTTCAATTTTTCGTAATAAAGTGTATGGATTGAGCATTCTTTGTTGGTCTTTACCGCACCAAAGAGTTCTTTTTGAAAGTTGAAATATCCACCAAACGCATTCTTGTCTAAAATTAAAAGGAATGAAAATATTTACTCAAAATAAAAGCCGTTATTCAGGCTTTATTATATCAATGTCCCTATCTCTTTCTACAATAATATGTATTTTGAAACGCCCTCATTCTGGATGCGTCATATAAATTAAAAAAGTAACTGTAACATGTGAAAAAGTTTGGCCGAAGATATCTTCAGAAATGCACCTATGACTATAACTTACATTGTCCTAATACTACTTCTTCAAAAAATTCTTGCCAAGAGACAGATCCGCACCCCAATTCATTGGACGAGTGCCAATGGCAGTACCACGACACCGCCACATCTTTTGGATTTCGGATGACGTTAACAATTTTTCTCCCTGACCGGAACTGCTCCTGTGGTAACCACCGGTAGGGCATATGAGAGTTAAACACCCTGGGGGAGGGCAGTTTGTCCAGAGAGGACAGATCACTTATCATGTCCAGGAACACGTGTTCTCTGGTGAGTGGATGGTACTCTGCTTTTCCTTGCAGTAGCATAACGATTATCTCCCAGACCCAATGGGTTCCTGTTGAAACATAGCAAATTACATAATTATTCCTATAAACAAGGTTGATGTCAAAGTGATAAAATCTTTGATAAAATTAATAATTTAAAATAAAATTATACAACTTGGCCATTTCTTCATCAATAAATTATTCAAACCAATTTAAAGTAACTTTTAAGGAGTTTAACGTCAACGAAAGGAAATAAATAATTAAAATCAGAGATACCTACGAAGGAAAATTGAATGAGAAATTTATTTAAATGTTACTGCTTATAAAGTAAGTTAGCGACGATCTACATTGAAGCTTTGTTTGTAATATTTTCAAACATTTGCCGGGCTGGGGTAAATTCTTAACTTAGAACTAAAGCGAAAAACTTTATAGATTTGAGAACTATGTTATCTTAATGATATAAACTCTAGTCACTGCAATTCACGGATATAGCCAAGTTATCTTGGATCCCTAGCTAATTTAAAGATTTCCTAATACAGATAATTACAAATTACGGATATAGCGAAGTAATTTCATACATGTATGTCACAGTGACTTCGTTATAACCGATCGAGTTTTACTATATATGACTTACCACACTTGGGAAACGTTATCATAAGCACATCATCTTCTCGTGTTTTCATGTTACGTAGCGCATCCAAGTGTTTTTTAGCATCGGCTGCTAGCGGTGGAAAAGGCGGGAAACAGCAGCCATCAAAATGAACCAAATCCTCAAATGGCATATCTGCGAAGTATATACCTGTAAATGGATTAAATTATTAATCGATGATATTGAAATATTTGTTGGAGAAAAATGAACTTATATACTGATTTGAAATCATTGTACATTTTATGAAATAATTTATGCAAGCTCGGAGTTAAATTAATTACTCCCTGCGTGACGCCGTGGTTTGAGCGTTTGCTCTCGAGTTGTGAATTAAATGGGTTGGTTGATCCTCAAGTCGCAGGTTCGAATCTCACTGCGGGACGCAAATTAACACAGGTTCGTAAAATCTGAGGTTCCGTGTCACAGTAAGTGCTGGCACGAAAAAGATCCCTCACTGTTCAATTGCATTGAGTGAAACGTTGAAGTCTGAAATTTACGGCCCTACGCCGACAAGTGGCGGCATCTCCATACGAGTGGAATAAAAATGCTCAGGGGACGTTAAAACAAACACACAGATATGTGCGTTTAATACCAATGACATACCATCTGATGTCAGTAAAGCAGCTACCATGCACATCGATTTTTTGAATGAATTTTCAAAAAAAATATGGATATACATATACCTACCTTACCTGAGGATAATTACCCCACGCAACAATTGCGTGAGGTATAATGTTTTTGACCCGTCCGTCAGTCAGTCAGTCCGCCAGTCCTGTTTTTTTGTCAGCGCAACTCCTCATAAACCGCTGCACAGAATTTCGTCAAACTTTGCAGATATTTAGGACACAATGTGTAGATGTGCATATTACAAGGAAATTCCGATTCCTTTATTTTTCCCGGGAATTTCCAGACTTTTTAACTTAGGTTTTTTGGCCATAGCTTTAATTAAGAGATGAACAGTTTGTCAGCGCAACTCCTCATAAACCGCTGTACAGAATTTCGTCAAACTTTGCAGATATTTAGGACACAATGTGTAGTTGTGCAAATGACCAGGAAATTTATATTCCTTTTATTTTTTCCGGGAATTTCCGGACTTTTTAACTTAGGTTTTTTGGCCATAGTTTGAATATAGAGATGAACAGTTTGTCAGCGCAACTCCTCATAAACCGCTGCACAGAATTTCGTCAAACTTTGCAGATATTTAGGACACAATGTGCAGATGTGCAAATTACCAGGAAATTCCGATTCCTTCATATTTCCGGGAATTTCCGGACTTTTTAACTTAGATTTTTGGCTATATCTTGAATATAGAGATGAACAATTTGTCAGCACAACTCCTCATAAACCGCTGCACAGAATTTCGTCAAACTTTGCAGATAATGTGTAGATATGCATATTAATAGGAAATTCCGATTCCTTTAATTTTACCGGGAACTTCCGGACTTTTTAACTTAGGTTTTTTGGCCATAGCTTGAATATAGAGATGAACAGTTTGTCAGCGCAATTCCTCATAAACCGCTGCACACAATTTCCTCAAACTTTGCAGATATTTAGGACACAATGTGTTGATGTGCAAATTACCAGGAATTTCCGATTCCTTCATATTTCCGGGAATTTCCGCACTTTTCAACTTAGATTTTTGGCTATATCTTGAATTTAGAGATGAACAGTGTGTCAGCGTAACTTCTCATAAACCATTGCACACAATTTCATCAAACTTTGCAGATATTTAGGACACAATGTGTAGATGTGCATATTACCAGGAAATTCTGATTCCTTTATTTTTCATGGGAATTTCAGCACTTCGACTTTTGGGGGAGTGTGAGGTATTTGAGCTTCCTCACTTTTTCTTTCATTAATACGACTAATAAAAGATTTGCTATTCTTGGGAAGGTTTTTAACGATTTCTCCTATGTATTTGCAAGTCATTTAATTGATCACAAATTATGGCCCCTCCTTAACTTTGGTGATTCATGATTTGAACAATATTGAATTTACATTACTAGAACCTGAGGAAGCATCCATATAAAAATTTAAAATCACTGATTTACGGTTCCAGAGAAGAAAATTAAAAAAGAAGATTTTTTATGTTTACCTTTGATCACCCATTGTGACCCCCCCCCCAAAAAAAAACCCACTGTTCATGACCTAGGAAGCGTTTGCATGTTTTATCTTTTCGGACCCAGTGGTTCTTGAAAGGAAGGCTATATTTAAACTCCCAACCAAATCTTACTATTTCTGAGTTATTTCCCTCTTGAAAAGGACACAGTCCTTCACTTGATCAAACTTGAATCCCCTTTACACAACGATACTCTGTGCCAAGTGTGCTTAAAATTAGCCACGTGGTGAAAATATGAAATGTTTACGACAATGACGACGACAGAGAAGGCTCAAGTGAGCTAAAAGGACGCATTATCAGGAGAGAGAGAGAGAGAGAGAGAGAGAAAGGGTGTGTGTGTGTGTCTTATAGCTATTAATGACGGTAGACGGAATGAGGGCACTTTTATTGAATACATTTTCAAAATTTTACTTGATTACTTTGACCCAGTTTTTTTTAATGTGAAATCTGGAAGGGAAACTTTAAATACTATTACATAATTAAGCTTGTGAGGCTCACCTGTCCTTAAGTTTGAGAGTCTATTAAAGTCTTTATTCTCAAATTTGGTCTATCGCTGTCAACATTCCTTCTAGAACGGTTCTGTACAACGACTGATATATAGATTGATACACACATGCAGAAAGGTATTTATATTATTATAATAGAGATATTCCAATGTATGTCAGACGTTAAATTTTCAATTTACAAAAGTCACATGATTCTGAACAAGTGACCAAAGTCTAAAAATAATCAGTAAACATGCAACGCACCTGCACTGTCTGGCTTCCCAGTCTAGCAATATCCGTCGATTAACTCCGAACAAAAAGTGTGAAATACGGGCAAGGTTTTCTTTGTTAACTAGCTCTGACAAAAAGTCGAACGTCAAAAACCTTCAGGCAAAGTTGATAATAAGATGGTTTGTTTTCATTCCGTATTCGGCAACTGGACTACTTGTCATGGTTTGGCCAGTTATTTAAATAGGCACTATGTAATTTATGGACTGGAAATTTAGAGACAAGCTTTGGTGGAAATGACACACCTTCCGTTTTCTTATTAACTATGGCCCGCCTTGAATATGCCCGGGGCATATAGAGTTTGTCTTGTCCTGCCATCCTTCTGTCTTTTTGTCCTTTCGTCATTCTATCCTTCCGCCTCACTAAAAGCTTTTAACTCAGTTCAAATTGCTAAGTTTCAAAGAAACTTCAAGATATTTTTATGAAAGGTCATACTCTGATACATATGGATAAAAACCAGTCAACTGCATCATCATTTTCTATATTGAAACCTCCGATTTGCACTATAAATAATAAATAAAGAGAACCCAATTATTTCTTCTTAATTATTCTTGAAAAAAAAACTTGGATTTAATTTTTCTTTAACACGCATCTTTATTTCTGTCGAAGACGCAATCAGTGCATACCTGATAGATTCGAGATCACGTGACGAAAACAACCCCGTCTTTTGACTTCACCGTATGCCAAGGGTTCATGAGGAGAGTAGCGTATCAGAAACCCTTGGCTAGCGAAGATGATTACGCTTGGGCAACAAAGCAACATTGACAAAAATGATTTTTTCGATAAATTATCGTGAAAAAAGACAAACATTCTGAAGCAATCTTTCTCTGAATACGAAAATAAACAATTATTCTTGAATGGGTAGTACTTGGTAAAATTTAATGTGAAATGCCTTCTGTTATTTATTTTTTTATGTATGTGTGTAATTTTAGTCATCAAATTTAGGGCCTGGCTGCTGGAAAAACTTTCAAAAGTCCTACTAAATCCTTTATGACTTATTATTGGCCGAAAACTTCGACAAATGCAAATATTTTTTTTAAATCCGTCTTATACTTAGATTTCTGATTTGACCTGTCTTGCGTAGAACTACATACACTTCAATTTGTTATTTCAAATTATTTTTGATTTGTTTTATCCCATGTTTACCCCTTTATACCGTGGATATGACTCATTGGAAAATGTTTTGATATCCCACAGTTGTGATGTCACAATAAATTTTGCGATTGAGTGATGAAGTAAAATAAAGTGGAGTCTTTTATAAAATCTGTGAAAAAAAAAATGAAAATGATTGTATTAAGGTAGTCCGATCCTCAGGTTTATAAAATTAGCAAATACTCATAAAAGAATCTCTGAATCCACAAAGTTATGTAAATTTATCCATAGTATTTCTTTAAAGTTAAAGATTAAAGTTAATCATATTATATAGGGAAAATTGTCAAATCTCCAATATTTTTGCAAAAAAAGCGAATTGGAATATTAGCAATGCATTTTCTAATTGCACATTGATTAACAAATATATTTTTAGGTTAAAAAACGATAGGTATCCAGGCATTCAGAGAAATTGTCATGATTTCTATATTTATTTGGTATTTTTTGTCTTCTATTTCTGTCGTATATTCTATAATACTTAGTGTAAAAGGCTTTTGCTATCATTGCAAGACACCATAAATCACTTCTTATTTAATACCATGCTAAGAAGCATTGGTATCTAAGCCTGGATTCAAGAAAATCTTATTCCTTTAAAACTGTTTTAATTTTTTTCCTTTTATAGGGTACAAATGTCAACTTTTATAAGACCTTTTCTAAAACTTTCAAAAACCTTGAATCTTATAAAGATCAATAAAATGAAAATTGTTGCATGAAAAAATTTCATTTTCAAGCTTAATTCTGAACCATTTCAAAGTAAATATTGATTTTTGGAGTTATCCTTCCTTGCTAAGGATCGGATATCCTTAATCATGGGAGATTCTTGATTTGTAGGATATAATTTTTATCCAACTCGTTGTCTGTTTTTATCCCTTCGCCAAGACCAAGGGATAAAATTACACACAATTTATTGGATAAAAACCGAATCATGGGAGATCCTATATATATCAAATTACTTAATCTGTTTTAACAAATTGATAATTTGTAATATCAAATTAATGATTTGTGATATCAAATTGATGATTTGTAATATCAAATTGATAATTTGTAATATCAAATTGATAATTTGTAATGTGAAACATATGGAGATAACGAACAGTATTCAAGATCAAAAGTCTATAAAACAATACAAAATAGGAGCAGAGGAAACAGGGACCTCCAACACTTCAGAGGTGGGATCAGGTGCCATGGAGGAGTGAGCACCCCATGCCGAGCGGTCACACCCACACCGGTTTTTGTCATAATCGGGAAACAACGAAAAAAATCTTCACCAATTGGACTTACAATTAGTATGAAAAACGTCAGTCAGCATTTGACTCAATGATAAATTGTGTTTGCTGACAAAGTCATTGTATCGACCATGTAACTTACGAAATGATGAGGTTAAACGAGACTGCTGATATTCTTGTTTTGTCAAAAATTAACCTCGTTTTAGAAATTGTACGTGTACATACGGTAGAGCATGCTCTTGCGTATCGAATCAACTCAGAGATATAAACCCCGTATGCAGGTGATGAAGGTATATTAAGTAAGGGAAGTTAGCCATATAGACCATATATGTATCAATAAGTTAAGAAGATCTTTGCAGGATACCAGAGTCTAACAAGCAGCAGACGTAGCCTCAGATCACCATCTACTGACAGACAGCATCAAACTGAAGCTCAAGAAAATGGAAACAGAAGGAAACTCTCAGAGAATCAAATATAACACCAGGTTTCTCCAAGATACTCAAATCTTACAGAAGTACAAGATTGCGGTGAAAAACAAATACCAAGCCCTACAGTTGAAGATCATTGGAAAGGGATAAAAGAAATCATCACAACAAGCTGCCATGAAATACTTGGAGTGAAAAAATACCATCATAAAGACTGGATCACAAATGACACACTTAAGAAAGTACAGGAGAGGAAGAATAAGAAGGCTGTGGTCAATTCAAGCAGAACAAGAGGTGAAAAAGCAAAAAGAGTATGCAGAGACCAACAAGAGAACAAAACAAAGTATTCAAGCTGACAAAAGAAGGTACATCGAGGAACTAGCAACAGAAGCAGAACAAGCTGCAAGAGCAGGAAACATGAAAAATCTGTATGACATCACAAGGAAGCTAGCTGGGAAGCGAAGTAAAAAAGAAAGGCCAGTGAAAGACAAAGCAGAGAAACAACTAGAAGGGGAAGAAGAACAAAGAAGGAGATGGAAAGAACATTTTGAAGAACTGTTGAATTATTCAGTTCCACCTGGGCCTGATAATATTCCAGCCGAGGCACTCAAAGCTGATTTTGAAAACTCAGCCAACATACTCCATCCAAGTTGGCGATTCAAAAGTTAAAGTCATCGCGTTTATCATAGAGTTTGGTAGTTAGATTACAATTAACTTCTTTTTAGAGTAAAAGATCTACGTGTCAGACTCGGTAGTATTTTTTATTTCAAGATCACTTTGATATATCGTATCGACATACGAATGAAATAATTAAGTTACAATACGTTGTCGTCGTATCTAAGTGTCGAGTTGAAGGCCATGTAGCAACCTCTAATGATAAATGGTGCAATTGCAACGCTTAATGCCATAATTTATTGCATTAATAGCTGACATTCTCAACCGCTAATGCTAAATCGCCGCTTAATGATAGAATTATATCATTAAACGTCACAAATGCAGTGCAACACTGACGCTTAATGAAACAAGCAAATATCGACTAATGATACACACTACTGTATCATTAAGCGTTGCAATTGCAACCTTTAATGATATAAAATTTAGAAATGGTTTGTAATATCTAAGAGAAACACACATCCACTTTCCTGAACAATGAGATATTACTTATCAAAACGTTTATATATGCCCTTGTGCTATATAAATGACAATTATTGAAGTTTTATTGAGTTTTCTAGCTATTCAAGGGAACCGTTCACGGTAGCTCAGTCGGTAGAGCGCTGGCGTCGTGATCGGCAGGTCTTGAGTTCGAATCTCGGCCGCGACTGACCTAAGTCGATAAAAAATGGGTAGCAACTGTTCCTTCGCCATGCGCTCGGCACTTTGAAGTGAAAGTTGCGGGTCCTTCTGATGAGACCTTAAAAACCGAGGCCCCGTGTCAGCGGCAGGCGTTGGCACGATAAAGATCCCTCACTGCTCAATGGCCCTGAGTGCCGAGTAAAGGTAAAAACTTGAAGCCCTTCACCGGCATACGGTGACGTCTCCATATGAGTAAAAAATTCTCGAGAGGGACGTTAAACAATATACAATCAATCAATCTTTAAGCCCCTGATGTTTAAGAGACAGACAGTCAGATAGCTGGGAGAAAGAGATACAGACAAAGAGATAAATAAGATCCTTTTAAAAGAACCATTTTTAAACTGAAAATACGGAAGCGAACAAGCAAATTCCTTTTAATTTGATACAATGGTTTGAATAGTTAACTTAAAATATATATTACATATTTGATTATTCGAAGTTTTGTATTTTAGATTTGATACAGCTTAACACATGTCACTGTTAACGTTTCAGATATACATATCGAGAAATATATTTACAATTTTCGCTATTGTATTTTTAATCTGTTTTGTTTCTCCAAATTTCGAAAAAGAGAGACATTGATATTGACAATTTATGTTTAGGGATACTGTAGATCACTTATTTTTTGCGACACCTTATTTTCGCGAGATAGTCATTGACTCTTTATTAGCGAAACAAAATGTTCACGAATTGTGGTCAGTACCTTGTATAATCTTAAGAAGTTCTATTATACGCGAGAATGAAATTTTCACGAGTATACCATCTCGCGTAATTACGCGATAATAAAGTTCTCGCGAATAAAAAGTGATTTAAAGAATATAACACAAAGAATACAATGTACATGTAATACACTGAATAATATATATTGTTTTTAGAAAAAGGTTCATGATTATTTTAGAATCAATTTAAAAAACTAGTATAT